GACAGGAATCTTCATACTCATCGCCCTGATGACGGAGGCAGTATGACCTCTGAAACATTGGTTAACATCGACCAGACTACACAGCGCAACAACCCAGAAGACAGAAATCTTCATACTCACCGCTGTGAAAACCTCAAATCTTACATGAGTTATTATTATCCTCCAATTTACGCCTAGATTTTCCTAGTAGTCTCTTGTGGTTACATTCGGCGCGACTGTTTCGAATAAGCGATTCATTCTTTAGTGCAACCAGTCAGCTTCAAAATGGACGTACGATAAGTAACAGAAATTCTGTATTTGTGCAACCGAGTACACAGCAGAAAAACAGAAATGTTGTGCGTGCATCGTCCGCACTGCTCCGTGGAGAAGTTCCTGTCAAAATATTTTGGTCGCTCCGCTCCAAGTAAAGTTATATTTTGGTTCGCATGGCCTAAGTTAAAATTCTGTTAGACCAGTGCTAATCAAAACTTTATCATTCCGACAACCTAATGTGTCCAAGTTTGTTCTGAATTATCCTGATTGAAATTAAATCTCAATGTGCATCTGTCAATTTACTGACACATGTGACTGTGCTTAGGAGCCTTACTTAAACCTTCCTACAATAAAGTAACTCGTCCAAGGAGTCCTACCGAATGTCTACACAACGAGCCAACTAAAAGTTGGGACCCGCAGTGCTCAGGAACTTGAAGAACGGGTCGTTCCCAGTATCCCAGTACAATGAAGTAATACGCACCCCTGATCAAGCGTGTTCAGCACGCAACTTATGCATGGCAAGGTTCCAATGCACCACTCACACTTTTGTATTATATCGCAAATGAAAGGCTGCAGACGACATGTATTAACACCACCTAAAACGTTCATCACCGCAGTTTGTACCCCTTCAGTTTCTGAATAAGAAACCAAACCTGTTTATATTGCATTTCAATGGGGTAAATACATATTAAGATAAACACAGAAGTTTATTTGTGACTTCAGTTAAAAGAGAAAGTTTATATATTTGTAGAATGACAATAGAAAATTACAATCATATTCGCGAAGAAAATAAAATTAGTCCAAAGATGATATGATTGCTTCCGATCTAAGAACGTAAAAAACTACAGATTTGTGTGTTATTGGTGTGTTCACGAAACTTCATCTCTAACATTGACAAGGAAACAATGATTGAGGGTGCATAAGTGTGGAGTGTTGAGTAGAATATTTGCATCTGAGAGGGGGAAAGCAAAGGATGACAGATGAAACTGCACAATGATAAAATTCAAAGATTAATTGTACCCTTTAACAAATATTATTAGGGAAATCAGATTAAGAAGGATGAGCTTGGAAGGGCATGTAGTACATAAAAATAATTCATCTGATATGTGACCAATGGATTTAAACTGACCTAGTGTAACCTCCTTGGCGTCTTTTCGTTTCGGTTTTTTATAACAGACTGGTCTAAAGTCTCTTATCGCCCATACACAACATGACACAAACCTAATCCTACTTTTCTTATTACATTACGCTGCTGGTTATCCATCATAACACTTGTAGATATTCAGAAAACTTCGTACATTTGCAGTATTCTAGTCCATAGCCGGGAAATCTTAGTCAATAAAATTAGTGACCAGACTTGTGATTAATTAATGGATGCGTGTTTTTGAAATGTGTGTTTGTTTTTGTAATGTGTGTATGTGTGTCCGTGTAAGGTGGAATGTTTTTGTAGGGGTGGATGTCTAGTTATGTGTGTGGGGTGTTCTATGGAGTGTACTTGTTTATATTATATGTATTTTGTTGTAGTGTAAGGACCACTGCCACCGGGCGCAGTAAATAAATAATAATAATAATAATAATAACGACTGGAAGACTCGGGTTCAATTCCTGCCAGACTCAGAGATTTTTATAGTCACTACAGAACCCAGAATGGCTCTGGGACCCACCCAGCCTCTTATCCCATGGACATTGGCATTGAAGGTTCCTTTCCCGAGGGTACAGAGGCCAGGGCATGAAGACTACCATTCACCTTAGCAGAGTGCTAACATTAAAATGCGATATCCTTTACTCTGCCAAAGGCGTTAAAAGACTCTGGTCGACAAGCAAATACAATTTTAATTAAAATGTATTAGACCTACAAGTTCATTCTACATAATGGACAAGTCCAAGACAGTTACTGGGATCGAAATTGGTTTTAGGATATTAACGATGCTGTTTCAACTGCGGAAGTTATACAGTCAAATGAGGTAACTTATCATCTAGTTGAAACTGAATTCTGCGATTAGGTAGATGGATATTCTCACTAACACTTGACTTTCAATTACGATTAATCTATCCTCTAGGAATACGTTTTTCTCCGATAATTCAAAAATTTCGCCGCTGTAAAATATCCTGCAATTACGTAACCGGTAGGTTCATTACAATTAATACAAACTAGCACTGAATTCTATCCTGAGGAAGTTCAATCGAATTCACACAAAACTAAATTAATTTAGTCATTATGACAACACTGAGTGAATCATTTACTTAAGTATACACACCTAGAGTCTAATGCGTAACTTCGACAACGTTCACAGAAAAATAGGTACAGTTTCAACAGACAATGCGATTAAACCCCAAAAATTATAAAACAATAAGTTAAAAACCGACAACGTAAACAATCTTGCGAGGATCATTTCACTTTCGTTTGTATGTTCGTATGTTTTCTACTCTATCTTTTGACTCCGTAGCAGCAATTTTCCACAATCACCTGTCCTGTCTGTGGCACGCGAAGCCTATTTCCGCATCCTGGACACGCTACCGAAATTATTTTTTTTTATAATAAAGTTTCCGCTTCTGTTACATTTCCTATTTATTTATTCATATATTCATATTGGTACAATTCTTTATTTACTTATTTGTTACTTATAGGTATGCTTATTTATTTACTTATTGTATACTTAATTCGTATCTAGATATTTATTTGTTTATAGATAAAGCAACAGGTTCAGAAAATATTATTTAGGTTGATGAAATCAAGGAGGTTGAAGTGGGTAGGACATGTGGCATTGGGTTGATGAAAAGTGCACAGACCTAAACAATTTTATCGTAAAATGTGAGGGAAGACTCTTAGACCTAGGCTTCGATTGAAGGATAATATTGAAATAGATAAAAACAGAGTATGAAGACGGACTGGACTCGATTAGCTCATACAGGGTCCAGTGACGGGTTCTTGTGGACACGGCAATGAAACCTCTAATTCCATAAAAGGAAAAGAAATTGTTGAGCAGATGAGCGACTCTCAGCTCCGCAACAAGAACTCTGTCCCAAGGAGTTAAAACAGTTCTTTAACAGACATGATTTAACTAACCAGTTTAAGAAGCATCACATACAGCGGTCAGGATATTTAATCACAGACGTAAAAAGTGTTGTCGGAATCAACTGTAATGTTTTAAAGCAGTCCGCCAACATAACAAAAACACATCACACTGAGCTGATCTACCACTTGTGATCAACTTCCATTACGTAACAATCCTGGTGTATCAATTACGTTAACTGTTACAGTAACTTATATCTAGGGATGTGATACAAAGTAAACCTCGTTTCCTTCTGCATGCTTTAGACTAGAACCTAAACTATAACCTGGTCTGACACATTAAAAAATGAACTACACATAACCTGTTCCGACTGACACAATTTTCGTAACGATAACCACCAAACATTGGAGCGAGGAGGGCGGGGCTTTCCCCATATAAGATTCTTCAATATTAAGAGAACATTAATGGAATGCAACTTGAAATAATGTGAGAGTGACCTTCACGATGTGGGCCTATGTGGTTTTGCTCTTTAACTCAACTAAATGATTTTATTTTATTTAATATATCTTCAACATTGGGAAAGACAAATAATCGAGTGTATGTTTTGTGTTTCCCTCACTATGGGGCGCTTCGATCGACCGTCCCAGTAATTAATCTCGAAAAACAAATGCTATCGAACGAAAAGACGCCAGCACGAGATGAATCCGATTGTTCCAGAGCATCGCTCTAATATATTATACGGTGTCGTGTATTTCGGAAAGACCCATTTCAACGTCCTTCACACAGCTCAAACGGGTCAGATGTAGAGTCCTAAAACTAGAAGAAATAGTAAGCTTTAGAAGTTACGGTGAGCGATACTACGCAAAATCCATATTTATGGCAACAGACTGCCGTCAACGCCATGGAGTGTCACAGACGATGATAGAAGCTCAGCTTCTAAAGGAATTCCCTGTCTTTCATGGAACCCGAAGACTAATTACACCAACTGGACTTACTCTGAGTGAAGTGGACCCATTTTATTGTTATTCAATAGCTGACAGGGCAATTAGTCATGTCGCTCTGCTATCTGCAAATTCTAATACAGCCGTCCCAATATTCAAATCAAAATTACGCCCTAAAATAGCTCTCCCGTACGAACATAAAAATTTTACCTCACAATGTTAATGTCAAAATTAATAATTTCGAACGAATGCAGTGAAACCCTACTCAACTACTCTTCTTGCTCCACTTCCGAAAACCTTACCATCTTTTCAACCTGCCTTCACGATAGAGACGACCGGACACTGCCTGGGAACCTTCGTGGACGAACATTTATCCTCCTCTCCCCTATTACATGTAGTGTCTCTTCTATCTCTCATTCATCCTTTTCCCTTCAAAGGATTTCCAACTTACTACACAAAATGTTGCACAATTCACACAAACATATTCTGTGTGTGGTCGACATACAAAGATCACGTTTAGAAGATACTATTATCGAGCAGGTTAGGTCAGCGGTAACGCGTCTCCCTTGTGGTTGATAGCGAAATGGATCACGGACTGTTGTAAGAATTCTCCTTAACTTCCTTAGAGATCATCGACAAAACACCTTTACATTACACATAATCATTCAACGGTAACAATGTGTCGTTGACGCAGCGTCGTTAAATTACATACATATAATTTCATTCGCCAACCTTTCCTCCAGCATACAACTATTCTGGCGAGGTTATGCTTGCAGTTGTTAGCTCTTCACGTCACATCTGCGTTGTTCCGTGTTCCTCCACGTAACGATCAGAATGTATGAGAAAATAAAAGCTATTCGCCGAAGGTCAATTGAAAACAAGGAAAGAACAGTCATGGAATTACGTAATGCATGATCACAGAATTACACGAAAGTTGCCTGATTGTACTACACGCCGAGCGAAATGCATTAGTTGTATGAATGACGTAATCCAATAACTTACTGGCCGAGATATTAATTAATTAATTAAAACGCTCTTAGAATCCAAACGTTCCACACACACAAAAATATTCGGGAATTGACACCAATCATGTTCAAATCAAAATACAGTGTCATAATCTATTTCCTTAACAAGCATATTCAATGTTCTTCAGTAATCACAATTTTACCAACTGTAAAACGATAAAACCACTTGCGTGGCCTTCAGTTAATAAGTTCTTGTTCAGTATGATGCGACATTTCAAATCACTGATAAAATAAAGGCGCATTTAAACATTAGAGCACCGAAACTTGTCTAAATAATGTTAGAAATATTCGGTTCCTACCTACAAGAAGTCCAACTGTAGGCTTCTGGCTGAAATCTAGGCCTGGGATGTACTCAGTCGAAGAATCGCCTACAAATCATCATACTTCCGGCTACTCTGAAGCGGTAAGCATGACATACACAACCTGAAATAAAGTTCGTGTTTTAAAGATATATCATTTAGTATGATTATTACATTCGTACCAGTGACTACCCATTAACCAGAACTTGTTTACTTCGACTTACCAACCCCCTTGCTTCTTGCACTATTATATCTTCTCCGATAACAACACTGTCCCTTCTCACAAGCTCATTTATCTTTATTTCCTCTTTGCATTTCATAACAACGCGCCTCATCTTTAAACGCAATGTCACACACTATGCACAATCACTCCCTCAATTCTCTTGTCCTGTACATGCTATTTATACTTCCACGATGCTCGTGTACCATAAACACCATTTACATTCACAGAAATTAGGTTATGTTGGCCTACTTTATGCACAGACTTTGCTTGTAGAGGCTGCCACCAAGCAATATCATAAACCGCATGTGTCATCCAAGATTAAATTTTGAATTGGAACTTCATTTCAGACGGTCAGTGTGCGGTTGTTAACCACAAAAAGAATGTAGTGCTATTGGTCTGAATTATATAAAAAATTACTATTACATAATCATAGCCTTTGACCTGTGATAGGGGGACGAAAGATAGAAGAAGTGATCCAGTGAGCGCCAATGATATTACAGGGAGGATGAGTGAAACTATATATAGCCATGGGTGCAATCAAGTATAATACCCATGTCAAAATTAGCACACTACAATGAATGTATCCCCTCCGCCCAGGCCCATTAACTTATTCGCCCAGTTTAACGACACCGCTTACTTTTTGGCAACATCGATACATTTCTGCGCACATTTTTACCGTTTTACCGTGTTGTATGGTTTATATAACACATTTAACACACTACATATTCACACTAAAATATGCCTCTTGGTAGAAAACTTCAATATGTACAACAGAGGACTGAAAGAACTGCGTTCTGCACAATAACCTGTCAAACTTCAGCCTCCATCACACAATACCGATAATACATGTGACTGTCCAGCTTCCGCCTCCACTGGCGATATCGATAACACACGTGTGTAAGGGTACGCTTCGCCTATGGCACTACCTCGTGGGCAGAAGATAAACCAAAATCATTACCAACACAAGACAAGGGAAGTTGCACGGTTTCTTCCCAAGAAGTATACTGCATAACCAAAAGAGAGGTTATGAAGGCTTTACTCTGTGATTATCAATAGGACTAAAATAAAATACACACACCATGATCTCAATACTCAGCACCATAAATTTAAACGCAATTCTTTTGCGATCAATTCATGTTCATCCTGCTAATAAAGAGCACAATAACTTGTCATTCTCTTTAAATGTAAAAATGACCATGATTGAATTATATAACTGACAAGGAAAACAAATGAGTGACCCATCCCATTAAATGCCATGTAGGCACACAAGGGGGAGGGGGTATAGCTCCTACTCATTCTCAACGTCAACACTAGATGGGGGTGAGTGGTCAGTGTCACACTCCACTTGTGATTCACCCCCGGGGAAAGACCACAGTACCCACTGGACAGGAGGCTGGGTGGGCCCCAGGGTATACTGACTAAGCCACCTGTGCTCATATGAACTAAATGAGTTACAGAAAGAAAACACATGTGGAATACATGAACTGCAAGATGTGACTCTTCAAGCTTGAAATTCTTGATCTCCTATGTTAAGAATGTTATGTTCTACATAAAAATCTGATAGATTAACTTCCTTTCAAGGAAAAATGTTAATTAAAAGGTGTAATGTGATTGAGAATTAACAGTGTTACTGATGTTCTGGTAGCCCTCGATTTACGCCCGGGATGCGTTCCTGGACGAACCGGCGTAAATTGAAACTCTTTTTATAATTTAAATCAATTGGAAGTCAATGATATGCGGTCCCAGCACCCAAACATTGACGAGTAATATAATTGAATTGCATTTAAAGCTCTGAAATAACGTAAATAAAATCAAGGGAATTTAAAAAAATATATTTTATACACTCACAATCGGCAATTCGTTGGTTCCCACGATTGACTACGATTCTTTCATGTGATTGATGTGTACAGCCATCTCTGCTGTTATGTGATAGTTGCATTCACGTAAGACGCCGACCTATAGAAAATCGCGTAGTAAAAATAACCCCGGTACCTCCGCAGAGATTAAATTAGTCCTTTGAAAGTTTAAAGCGCCAGGTATGAAATTGCATAAGAGCAAACTAGCATATGCAAAAGTTTGCATTTCACAAACAGCTTTTAACGATTCATCGATCTCATTGGAGCAAATTCGCGTTAACGAAACATACGTAATTGCAGAGGTGACTGTATTTATAGTTTTTATTCAAAATCAGCTATGTAAGAATTACGATTTAGTATAAGAATCAGTACGATATACATTGTAAAACGTTATAAATAATAGCAAAATATATTTTTTTCAATTTTGACTTGCTGGTTTCAAAATCTGAGTTATTCTGAACCGGCGCAAATCGGGGGCTACTTGTACTATTAGCCAAATACCAGAATCAAGCAAACAGTAATTTTACTTTCAGAAGTTCAAATCTACTGTTTACTAAATTAACCATTACTCTGACAAAGCAACACTTATACATCTTAATGTTTTTATTCCTGCTATTTATTCCAGAATATGAAAAATATGCAAGTTTTATGTGTACTCATATTAAACAAACTACTTTGTACATCAGAGGATGATACCATGTCTGTTTCTCAAGAAATTTCATTTTAAATTCTAGTATGCATTACTATCAACGGAGTGCCATAGCACAGGTAGTTAGTCACTGCCTTCCAACCATGAAGGCCCAGGTTCATTTCCAGTACAGTCTACGTAGGATTTCTAGTAGACAAAGTGGCACTTCCACCAGCCCTCCAAATTTCCTGTCAGTATCATTTCAGTGATGCTCCATATTTACCGTAAATTTAATCGAACTGATTCTTCAAAAGAAGCTTAGAACATGCATTATCTTTTTTCCTCTATTCACTAAACAGAATACATTAAAATTATTCATTGTCATTATCCTTGTTTAAAAAGAAGACACCATGACGTTTCAAAAACAGGGTCAGTTTCTGAAACGTCGTGGTGTCTTTTTAACCAAGGACGATGGAAATTTCCAGACAATGAAAAATGTTAAGTGTAATCCACCATCATCATCTTCAGAGCAGAATACATTAAGCTCTTCCATTTTGAAGTACAGAACACACAGCCACCTTATTTGTACATCTTTATGCATACGTCCATCAGTTACACAATATATCTATATTCATTTTATGATTTTTCAAATAATTATAATTCATAAAATCTATAATAATTCTCAAATTCTTTAACATTATTAATACTACAAATACAAAAATACACCAGCACCAAAATCCACAGTAGACATTAAGTATCATATTTACTGAATCAGATACATATTTTAATTAAAATAGAAGCATCATAAATATACAATACGCATATTTCAGTTGCAGTATACACCGTTAACTGACAATCACTCCAAAAGATTAGAATGTAAAAAGTTTTCTTGTAGTTTAAAATGATGTTGTTTAAACTGAGTTTACAATGTGTGGGAAATCATTCAGACAACTTACGTTTAGATCATAATTACACAGCATAAAACAGGTGTCCGCTGTGCCCTTACACAGCAAGGTTACAACAAATGTTAATAAATACACATCAAAGCCCCTGAGAATCTTCGTAAGAAGTGAAACAGCTGCATCATATAAGAATCTACAGGATCTTTTCAAAAAGACACACCAATACTAATTACATTTAATTACCTAATTACATAGCAAATGAAGATATACTGGGAACAACCCGTTCTTCAAGTGCCTGAGCACTGTGGGTCCCAACTTTTCGTTGGCTTGATCTGTAAACATTCGGTAGGACTCCTTGGATGAGGGATCGGCCCGTCACAAGGCCTCTACCTGTACACAGGACAGCACAACACAGAAAAACATATATGACATGAGTGGGATACAAACCCACGGTCCCAGCGACCAAGCGGCACAAGGCCCACGCCTCAGACCGCGCGGCCACTGCGGACCCCAAATGAAGATATGCAATAAGAAATTTCAGCAGCAGTGATCAGCTTCAGCAAAGAAACTCCAGCTGCAATTGTATGAAATTTCTGACGTTGGCTGCAGGTCTCGGACACCGACGGTGCAACGACTGTAAATGTCCCAAGACACTCAAAGATCTTTTTAGCAAAACCCTGCATGTATATATATTTTTTTCTCTAGGAATGTTGCAAACTTAGAATAAAATCTGATATGGGAATAGTGGTAATGCTGATAGGGACAGCATCAAAGCAGCAAGTCTTTCTGTTAAATGCTTTTACGCATCTCTGCGTTCAGTGCACTCGGTTAATGCATAAAGAAAAGGAGCCGTGCCCACTTGTCTGCATTTTTCACCTTCAAAACAATTGAATGCATTCAGATACTTGAGGCTACACTAAAATATGTTGGGTACCTGTCATTATCGTCATAACTAAAGCTATTCCATCCTCAAACTGAACTTTGCAGATAAAAAAAAACTCATGCTTATGACCCAGACATGTGAAATTTACATCTTTAAGATCAGCAGAGTACAGTGAAAAAATTAAAAATAGCACCTGGACTCAACCCAGACACAGCCATTCTCAAAGAACTCGTTGCATCCTACGTTAAACAGCTGCGTCTATAATCCAGCTACAGCCACTGGACCATCGTATCAATAGCTAAGTGCAGAGTCCAACTTCTGTGAAACCAACATCTAGTGTAGTGTCGCTTGATATGCTTTTGTAAAATACTCTACTTCATGATTTGTTTTCTAAACCATTTTTAAACCAATTTTAAACCAGGCACTTGAAGAACAGGTCGTTCCCAGTATCTTAGTATGTCTATTAGGTTCCCACATAATTTTAAAACAACTGTATAAAGTCAATGTGAAAGAAGTAGTACATAATGTCTCTAAAATGACAAAGCTGAAGATATCAGGCTTTCATGGCAGTTCTATGCTAATGTGGACAACCCAGAAATGTAAACCTGGTAGCTGCAATTCCTACACCATAAATAAAGTCAGCAGTGTTTATATACAATAAAACTTCCACACTAATAGTAATGTACATTATGGGATAGTTAACAACTACTTCACAATACAATACTCTGGAGTTCTAACTTAGAAATAAATAAATTACATATTTCAATAAATACAGTCCACAGATCAGGAGAAAATCCCTGCTAGGAATTCGACATACGCGCATGCGCAAGATTTTGCGGTGAGTGACGACCGATCCTAAAAGCATTCGTTCCACAACCACTGAACGAACAACAGACGACAGGCTTTCACGTGTTCTAATGGGTACAGCTTTAAGTTTACCTCACAGCGGCACAGTGATTTAATCTAGAATATTATCGCAACACCCACAGAACACATTACAAGTGCGCTCACTACACGCTACTCTTAACTGCTTGATGTTTTCAGTCTGTGTAGTAGCGTAAAACTCTGACGTATCACACTTCCCACCAATAGCAGCCCTCTAGTCCAGCTGATAGTAAATATTCCCCCTGCACTGCGCCAGAAACGACTTCCCCCCGCACGGCTTTTCTCCTGGTCTGTGGACAGTATATAGATATATACACAAATAATAAGCAGAATCATTAGCCTTCACCTAGTAAGAATCATCGTAAGAGGTATTGAATACCATCAAAAATTGTTTAGTGATATAATATATGTAAGGATACGAAAACAAACTTCCATTTTTGTTATTATTACACAGATATTACAATTTAATTTCCAAATCTGTATTTAATCCACAGGAGAATACCGAGGTTTATCACAGATAAGATAATGATGGCTATTCCATGCAAGTCTTTTCCGCTGCCCTGTAACAGCAGCTCTTCTTTCTGTTAGCATTATTTTTCAGAGTAAATGATCTGATGTCAATGTTTCGAGCTGCTAACAATCTTCTCCCATGTTTGATCTGTTTAAGCAACTGATATGTTAACTGCACATTAGTGACTTGTTCCTTCTGGGTCTCTTCATCTTAAATTACAGATGGTTGGTCATATTGGTTAGCTTTTCTAAGAAGTTTATAATGGCTGTGAAACTAAATTTTGACTTCCTAATTAACATTCTAAAGCGACCCATCCACGTACGAGTCTGACTTGCGAATCTGGCTCGGCGACCTTGACTCGTGAGCCGGGCTCGGATATATTTCACCACACGTGCATAGCAGACTCGGCTCGTGACACCCCACCCACAAACGAGTTTGGCTCAATGGAACCCGAGCTGAGCCGGACTCACAAGCCAGACGCGTATGTGGATGGGCCGCTTTAGAGAAACAGTGAGTCACAGACATTACAATTGAATTAGTTCTGAAAATCCCTTTTAATACACAATGTTCAGAAATGTCAACAATTATAAACAAAATCTGTCAGAAAATTCAAGAACCACCTAGTATAACATTTAACATTATTTCTCAACTGCAAGGTTATGTAAGACAAGGGGATGACTATTCAGTGAACTGGATATAAGTGAAGATGAAGTGATCATGGCTACAAGACATCTTTAACAGAGATTCATTTCTGAATATCTGATTACAGCGGTTTCTGTAGGGATTTAACAGGAAGCATGAGAGGAACAACAAACAAGCAGCAGTCAACGGTTCACTCCTCTAATTTTCCAAAACAGCTTACAGGCACAAATAAAACACGTAATCAGCTATGCTAGCAACTGAAATACTGAAAACAAGTCACAATTACAATGGCCAATAGTATAACCATCTTCTTTTATAATCATTAAGAAGTCTGTTCGCCATTTCAATGGGAACTGCAACAAAATATTATAAAATAAATAGGATTTGAGGTTCTCACAGCATTGAGTACAAAGATCGCTGTCTTCTGCATTGTCTTGTAGAAGTTTACCAACGTTGGTAAACTACCGGACTACATGACGCAACAACCCAGAAGATGACCATCTTCATTACTAAAAGAATTTATACATTCATCACTATTATAATACACTAAGAAAAGAGAGTCTACAAAATAAAGTTCAGAAAAATATAAAGTACTTTTAATTCACATATATTTCTGAAGGTATTTCAATATTAAATTAATTTCACTGGGAGTTTCATGAACTGTGCTCAGTAAAGGAAGTACTAAATCATTTATCAATGTATTCTGGGAAAAAATAAGAAGAATAAAATGTAAAATATACCAACTAATAACATTGCAAGCTAAAGGCAGAATCAAAATGGATGAGAACAGACCATTCACTGACACATTAAAAAATAACTTCTTGTTTTGTTATTACTTTTATATAAATTTTATATTTTATAAGACAAATTTTGAATTTATTTTAAAATACTACTGTCAAATACTTAAATTGTAGCTCCAAGGTTCAAAAACGTTTCCCGAGTATAAAAGCCTTTCCGAATAGCCGCACAACCAAACAGCGGCGTTACCCTATTACCCTGTCATACTCCATGGTCCCTTTGACTTGTCAGCCAGTTAAAATAAATTCTGCATTGCACGTCTGTTTTTACTTGGAACTGAAGTCGAGTATCAGTAATAAATTATCAAATATTAATGTGGTACATACTGGTTAGCTGCATCATTCTGGAAGAAAAATAAAACTGTAATATCTGTAAATAAGAAAGTCACTGCCAAGGTACTTAAAAAATGTGCCAAAAAGAGCACAACTTCTTCATAAAAAACAGTTTGATGTAAGAAAACATTTTGTTCAGCTGATACAAAAAAATGAGAAGCCAATAGAATTATTAGCTTCATTAATCATTGATACAATTTTGTGAATTCACTGTCGTAACTAATGTATCATAGAGAATTTAGTTTTAATTGTTAACGACTAAAGGCTGACAGAATCTCATTAATGCACTTCCAAGGATACCATTAAATAAAAAATGTTGGAAATCGTTACTATATATCACAAATACAATATGAAATTTGCTGCAAGGAAATCAAAAAAGGCCATAAAATTCTTTAAAAATTCATGCAAGTTGAGCCAGTATGACAGTTGTACGATGTGAGGTTTTCGCGGCGGTGAGTCTGAAGATGGCTGTCTTCTGGGTTGTTGCGCCATGTAGTCTGGTAGGCAGCAAAGACCTCTGAAACGTCAGTAAACTTCTACCAGACTACACGATGCAACAACCCAGAAGACAGCCATCTTCAGTATCACAGTTCCTTAAATATATGAAATCCTAGACTGAATGAGATGAATGTTCCAAGCAAAGGCATGTACATTTAGGTCAGGCTAAATAAACAATTTTGGGTCTGTTAATTACTTTGTTCATCCACTTCAAAAACTGCTTGATATATGGATTGAAAACGTTTATTATGATATGTCCTCCAAACTGAACTATTATTTGCTGATGACATTACTACATAATTATGAAACATTAAAGAAAACTGTGTAAGATGAAACAAACAAGCTTTGTGGTAAGAGAGCATCTGCAGAATTACCCAGTGAACCAAAAAGAAATAACAGGAACATCAGTTGTATGCGAGGCACAACACCCTCCACCATCACTGTAATACCAACAGACCTTCTACCTTTTTGGTCTATATGTGACGTCCAGCTTAAAAGTTGGAAGTCCTGCTAAATGCCTTAAGGTTATCTCATCATGTCTCGGAACTGCTCCAGTTCACGTATGCTTGTAGATAACCTGCGACAAATAAATTTATTATGACATTATTCTACTGTAGCCTGTAGGCCAAATGCACCCTTAAGAGGCCTTCACCAGGGATGCCACTTGCTGCCAAGGCCTGAATATGATATAAAACAAGGTAAAAGCATTTGATACAGATACTGATTCAGCATATAGATGTAAAAATAAAGCTGTCCCGCTACACGTCATGTAGGTCGTTTGGGGTGAGTGGAGGTACAGCTCCAACTCTTTCTTGACCTCGGCACTAGATGGGGGTGAGTGGTCAGCATCACGCCCCAGCCGCGCTTTACCCCTGGGAAAGGACCCCAGTACCCATTGTAGAGGAGGCTGGGTGGGCCCCAGAGCCGGTCTGGATGCAGAGACTAGAGGAAAAATCCTCTGCCCCCGTCGGGATCGAACCCCGGTCGTCTAGCCCGTAGCTAGTCACTATATTGACTGAGCTATCCCAGCTCCTCAGCATATAGATGTATGGCATAATTTACTGGTAGTATAAAACAATCTACACCAGTAACACAATACAGACATGAATTTCCATACAGAATGAGTTCCATAACTTTAATTGGCATGCAAATAGATCAAGTTTATGTGAGAACATTAGAAAACTCTTACGTGATCTGTTGCTATCATGGCAACTAAATTCAATGAAGTCTTCGTGGGCAATCAACCACATCAAATTGCACATAAAATGGGCATGGCACTCACCTCCCAAATGCATTTATCAATGCAACAATCTCACTTCTCTGCAACTGGAACTTGCTCTTGTCAGCATGTGTTAGACTCTGGCTAGCAGCATTCATACCATCAAACTTGCCTGAGAACAAAATCTTCAGTGCTGTGCCAAGACCATGAATCTGAACAGATGGAGGAATTAAATTTACAACAAATTAGAACACAGTTTAGACTTCTGAACAATTACAAATACATACTAATTGTTTAGAAACAAATTATTCCAGTAAAGTGGCTGCATATTTCATTATTTGTTTTATTTATGTTGTCCAAATAATGAAGGGATATTGGAGATGAAAAATGAAACTCCTATGAAAACACCATCACCATAATGATCAAAAAGTTACAGAGTTAGCCCACCTGTTGACTAATTCCAGGTTTTGTTTTCAAACAGTGTCCTCAAAACCATCCTTTGGCTTTTTGTTCTAATAGGTAAGTATTGCATACTATTAATGTTGATAATTTGCTTTTTTGTCTAAAATTTTGGTTAATACTAATACAGTCCTCAGTTCTTCCAAAATGTTTTGTTTTAAATCCTATATGAGATGGAGAGAATTCCATATTAAATATAAATATGTTTCTATTCAGCTTATGTAAAAGTCTTAAAAGTTATTCAATATATTTCTGAGAATTTTTAGTACTTCACCTGTGCACTTCCTTGTACTAACAATTTCAATGCCCTACACAAAGCAACAAATGTAATAGCCTGGCTAACGTTTATGTACAGGCAAGTGAAATTTTTCCACGTTCATGGTCTGTTATATATGATTCAAGATGCAAGGAGAAATACAGTATTCTCTCACCTGTAACTTTCCCCACAGCTTACACTTGTCACAACCAACACAGTCCATGATGCGGGAGATGTTACGAAAATGTTGCCGAAACTCTTCCTTCAATTTTTTGGCCTGATGTCCACCACTGAACATAGTACTTTCATTGAAATGATCAGGGAAAGACCTGTTCAAAACAATTTATCATCAATGTGCCGTACATCCACTGTTTCACATGTTTAGAGAGTGGAGTCAAATTTCCTCTACGAAACATCTTAAAACAAATCCTTGAATGCCTAATAAGAACAAGTTAAATATACCAAATTAAGGTCTCATTCAACTTCTGCCATCACATAGTATCAGAGGAAGTTTTCACTGAGAAACAATAACAAAATATCAACACAAAGAAAGTATAATTTCTGACGTCATAAAACTTTATTCTTCCTTGAAACTGAATGCCAACTTTGTGATCTCATTTTTCTTATGGGACAATATAATCTTCTTACTTTTTGTTGGTACTAATTTAATAAATGTAATTCTAGGAAGGGGCATGCAGTTATGAAAAATAATAATTTGCTAAAGCACACCTACCCAATTTAATAATTACTAAATTCTTAATTTTGGTATTCTGTTGGTTATAAGCACTACAGAAATTTTCATGCTACATTCTCGTAATAAATTAAAATACTATAGCAGTTCAAAGTTGTTTCAGAATTTTGATCATACCAAGTCAATAAATCATCCAACCTGATTCATATTATGCAGTTTTCTCAAGGTATGCCCTCCTGAACTAACCTAACCTAACCTGACCCAACATGTCAAAAAAGGCAAGTTCTGTGACTCTATGGCAGGCATTTGCATAGCTTACTATCCAAAAGTAAAAGTTTTGAGTTTGTGACACACAACTGACACTAAGAAGAATGATTCAAATATTTCTATACAAAGGTGTTATTTGAAATTCATATATAGCCCTGGTGAGGGTTACTTTTTGCTGCCTGTTATAACAAACTTCATGGAGTAGAGTCCTCCTTGAGAACATAAAAGATCCACAGCTGGTCAAGAAATTTCCTGCCTTTTAAGAAACCCAAATATTTGTTACTAGGTTCACAAGAGCATGCCACAGTCCCTATCTTAAGCCATAAAAAATGAGTCCAAACTCTAACAAACAGTTTCTTTAAAACCATTTTAATAATATCTTCTTATCTATGCATAGTTCTGCCAAGTTTTCTCTACCCTACAGGATTTGGAACTTTCAATCTGTATGCATTCATGTTGTCTGTTCTAGACTTGAAATGTATTACACAATTAAATTGAACTTTCCCAGCGTACAACTTCACAAATTTCTCATTCCACTACTTTTACAAATTTTGCATATTACCATTAAAACATTTTTGTGACCTATGACAATTACGCATTCTTACCGAACAACCTTCAGAAAGTCCTGAATGCCATTCCTCACTTCTTTATCTTCTTCCTCATTGCCTGTGTAATACTCTTCATGTTCAAGGTACGGTGCTGCTTTAGCCAGTGCTCGCAGCTCCAGCAAGTACAAGAAGTACAGATTTCTGAGCCACTGAGGCCCCTCTCCATCTGTTTTCTCAGGGTCAAAGCGGAGCTGAAACTCCCGCAAATTTGGACCCCACCGTCCACCTGGTGGGTCCAGTCCTAAAGTATTCTTTTCTACAATTAAGAAATGAGAAATACAGCATTTTTAAAAGATCTATTATCATCAATTTTTGTAACCTTACATTACATGGTGCTAGTATCACTCCTATTTCCTAAATCTGAATGGCCACCATGCTGGTATTATTGATAGCATGAAATCAAAAGTACAAAGCAGGGGTGGCCTCTAGTGGCAAAATGTTCATACCAGGTTTCATAAAAATCCATTAATAGTCATTGGTGGGAGACAACACATTAACATGATAATAACAAGAGACTATATTAGCTTACAAATAAAGAAAACTAAAAAGCATAAGCTCTGTTCTCCTTCAGTATGTATGAAGTAACTACAGTATTCCCTAACGAAACGAACGACAGCAAGTGTTCAACAGAAATTCAAGTGAAAACACCTGTTCCAATATAACTACACATACCTGATAAAAGATATTTAGAACACAGATGTATGTTA